GCGGAGCACCAACCCAAAGCAGGGCCATCGTCCCAGCAAATTAAACAGGAGCAGCTCTTGTCTTAATAACTGTGGCTCCACAATTCAGCGTGTGATGGATGGGCTTTTTTCCGTCTGATGATGGAGGTCATAGGTTGCCCATGAGAGAACCTGTTTTCGGCACAGTTGGTGCGCCCCTCACATCTGCCCTTCTTTAACTTTGAAAGGAGGTGGTTTCAGTGCCAAATGGATAGGCAGGCTTGCAGCATTGCGCCAACGGGCAGTGCTTACAGCCATGGTTTGTGTGACCGCGTCAGACCGGCGTTGATCGCAGCCCTGTTTTTTCTTGCGCGTCGAATCAGAGGGCGCAACTCAACTTGCCAGCTGTCTGCCCTTCATTGGAGCGTTGCGTGTTGCAAGAGTCGCCACAGTTTAGCTGTGAAAGGAGGTTTTGGTTTCAGTGCCAAATGGAGAGGCAGGCTTGCAGCATTGCGCCAACAGGCAGTGCTTACAGCCATGGTTTGTGTGACCGCACCAGATTGGCGTTGATCGCAGCCATGCTTTTTTTGCACGTCGAATCAGAGGGCGCAACTCAACTTGCCAGCTGGAAGCTGTTCTGATTATTTGTTGACGATGCGCAGCACGAACAGTTCTTGTGAAAAACAGACGCTTTTGAGTGCGGGTGTTTCCGAGCCACTGGTCCCCCCCGCCCCGGCGTCCTTCACGGCGGCAGTGGAGCGACCACTTCGAGCGAGTTGCGGGGGCCTACAACGCCAGGCCACACGAGACGGTGTACGGCGCGCCCGAGGACGTGGAGAAGCAGCCGGCCACCGAGTTCCGGCTGCTGCAGGACAACGCCGACAAGTTCCAGCACAACAAGGAGATCACGGACCGGCGCATCAAGCACCCTTGCGGGCCACGCGCGTGGCCAGGTCCTTCTTCAGCGTCTGGACGCCCCGGTCCACCACGGCCGTGGCGTTGCGATCCTCGGGGCGCTTCGTGCGGTGCACGGCCTCCGCCGGCAGCTCCCGTCCAGCGTGGCGAACTTGTTGCCCAGGTCGGTCGTGACCACGAAGTTCTTGTCGTCCCCCACCAGCTCCTGCGTGGCTGGCCTGGCCGACCGTCTTGGCGTTCTTGTTCTGTAGAGGCACTGTCCTCGAGCGAAATATACCGCCCGCCCTTGGCGTTCGACTGCACGTCCCAGGGCAAGCTTCGTGGTTCGAAGCGGAAGATCGGGCTTTTTCACTCGAACGGAGCGGCTTCCGAGGGACCGCTGCGGGGACGGGAGGTGCGCGGGACGCTTCAAAGAAATATGCCCGCGCTGCTGGAGCTCTTCAAGGGCTCAATTGGAAGGGGCTTTGAGGCCAGGGGCTGGGAGGTGGTCAGCCTGGACCTCCTGCCCAAACTCACACCCCACCATCTGCTGCGACATTCTGCGCTGGGACTACCGCACCGCCTTCCCGCCCGGGCGCTTCGACTTTGTGCGGGCGTCACCCGTTTGCACCGAATACTCCCAGGGGGATGCGCTGGTGCTTCGGGCCATCGAGATCATCACCTACTTCACGCCGCGACTCTGGGCCATCGAGAACCCGCAGACGGGACTGCTCAAGACGAGGCCCTTCACTCGGCTTCGTCGACGCCACGTACTGCTTGTACGGTACGCCCTTCAAGAAGCAGACACACTTCTGGACGAACACGCGCTGGGCGCCCAGCTGCGGACTCTGCGGGCCCGGCAACCGCTGCGAGGCCTGGGAGAATGGCAGGCACGCCCGCGCCGCACAAAGGGGTCCCCGGAGGATCGGCCAGCGCTACGAGAACGTTCGCAGGCAGTCCCGTGAGCTGCTGTACAGCATTCCGGCGGCGATCTGTGACGAGATTGCGGCGGCGGCAGAGGCAAGCGAGGCTTGAGGACCGGAAAGCCGCGAGGAAGTGTTTTTATCAAAAAATGTTTTTCTTTTGCACAAAAAACTAAACGCGCGCACTCCTTGACAGACTGCCTGCTAGAGGGTTTGAAGCATTTAGCTTTTTAGAACAAAATCCAGGGCCCGGCCCGGAGGAGTCCAAGCTGCGGCACAGAAAGCACGCGGAAGACTGCCACATCCGAGGAGTCCAACCTGCGGCGCAGACTGCCTGCGCATTTAGATTTTTATGTAAAAAAATCCAGGGCCCGGGCCAGAGGAGTCCAACCTGCGGCACAGAAAGCACGCGGAAGACTGCTTGCCAGGGATGGAAGCTCTCTATGCACAAGGGTTGCCTACTCCAACAATATTGCAGTTACGGACCCAGCAGAGCTTGCGCAGGAATTCGCGCAGCCTCACTTCTGCACGCCGAGCAGGCAGCGTGCAGAAGTACAGTTTCTTCATCTCCAACTTCTTGGACGCCTCCGTGATCTTGCGCTGCTGCTGGATGATGCGGCGCAGTGCCGGCTCGTCCCACTCGTCCCAGTAGGCCTGTTCACGCTCCGTGTTCACCCCCAGGTCCTCCTCGATGTACTTCTTGACGGGGATCCAGCCGTCGTCGATGTTAACGCTCGGGCTGAAGACGAAGATTCTCTCGAAGACGCCTCGATTTTAAAAGGACGAATGGGGAAGATCAAGCTTTTCCCCACGACCGAGTACACCAGCAAGCAAGCCTCGGACCCCGTGGTGCCACTGGTGCCGTGCACCGGCATCTTCCTCGGGCAAGACCGTGGCGCTGATCAGCCTGATTCTGGAACACACCCTGGTTTGAGTCCCATCCGGTGATTGAATGAGAACCTTGGTTTTCCGGCGTGCAGACAAAAAGATGAATATTCCATATCACCAATATCAGAATGTGGAAAATATAAAGACATGCATTAGTTAAAGAGACAGAGTCAAACACTCAGGATAGAGGAATTAACAAGACGAGGAGACGTTTTACTGGCCCCTGAAGATCTGGACCGCGCGCAATATCCATCGCCACAAAAATCGTAAGTGATACGATTTTCCGATGCGTTGCCCTTGGTTTCAATTGCGACTACATGACCTTCTACCGAACAGATGTGCATATTGGACGCAAGTTCTTGAAGATCGATCTTGCTGCCACGATTTGCGCGCAATGGCGCCAAAGAGGTTGATAATCCTCTTTTTCAATGGTGCTAGCACCGCAATATACATCTGCCCTCGCTACATCGAGAAGATCAATCGGACTGAGGAGACGCCAAAATCTTTGCTAGAAAGGTTCCGGCGGAGGGCAAGTAGAAAGGCGATCACGACGTCGTCGCACTGGTGATCAAGCATGTCCAACACAATCTCTACTATTTGGGGATTAACTGGAGATTGCATTTTCACAATGGGATTGTGGTACTCATCGTGCATGGTACCATGATCAAAACTAAAGTATTTGCATGAGACTTGCATTTGTCACCACAGAACCTTTTCATTTCCGTACAGCGTCGTCATCGGCGACTGCTATTCTGGAGATGCCAGGCATTTGGCAGTCAGATTTGTACTTTTACCTGATTGATCGTTTCAATGCGCATGAGGTCCGGTGTGCGACCTGTAGCATTCTCGTTTCTGGTTAAGTGTACAGAACCTGGTCAAACTCGTGCAGAGACGTTTCACAGACTTGGATAAGAAAAGCCGCGCGTCCATGCGTGTCGGCGCGTGGGTGTGAATGGTTCATGACCCCAGGAAGAATCTCCGGGCCACAGGCCAAAATCCCATGGGCAGGTTCTGAGGGTCACCCTGTTCTCTTCCCCTCTTTAAGGTCCCTCGAGCCTTTGTGGGGATGTTGTTGTGTGAACAGCCGACGCATGCATATGGATGCTTTGGCTCAAAACTAATATCCAACGGAGCGCTGTAAAAAAGCAAAAGGGCCGTGCTCCGCTGTTGCAGGCGGTTGTGAGACAACGCAGACCATATTATCCTTACACCCCTATTTACACCGACCCCTACTACACGGCCTTGCAACCGAGGGTAGTGGTCACCCTCGGGGGATTCGAGCCCCAACTGCCTTGTCACTGACTTCGTGGTTGGCTCGCCTCCTGGCAGCGGAAAACATGAGAGCCGAGTGAATCAAGTGAGCTGGGTGCGAGTGATCTTCAGCGACATGAGTTGGTCATCTCTCATGGTTTGGTTAAGACTTCCGTTTTCCAGAGTGTTTCGCTTTTCGTGCAGTCCTGACTTGATTGCCTTGGCTTCAGTGCGGTGCTGACCTTTTGCGACTTTGTCTGGTTGAGACTTTCGTCTCCTAGATTCTGCTTGTCTTTCTTTTGCATTGATCGATGCAGTTGAGGCTCAACTATGCCATATTGCGTCGGGATGCTCAATGCTCCCTTTTGCCGCCGAAGGATTGTTGTGTTGTTGCGTGTTTGGTTGTCTTGGATTTGGTTCTGTTTGTTCCGTGTTTGCTTTTCCTTCTTCGGCTTGTTCATTTTTTGTCTTTCTGCGCTGAAACTGCGGACTGGCGTGATTGCAATGGCCGCTCGGTTCGAGAAACAAAGTTGCAGGGCAGCAATTTCAATCACGAAGCCGCAGTCAAAACTTCCATTTTAGCAAAGTGGAGCGTGATTCTTGTCGAGTGGTTCAATGTTCTCACCAGCTCAGCTGCCCAGACAAAATACGGCAAATTCTGCATGAGCACGCAATCGCAACTTGCAAAACGCGTTTTCATGTGAAAACGATGTCATGAACATGATGTTCTTGAGATAGCCGTGTGTTTGAGCATGCAACGCATTTGAGGGTAGGCGATGTGGATGCCATCGGAGGCTAATGCGATTTCACATAGTTTCGCATTGGATGAGCAAACGTATTTTGGAAGTCATGATGATCCATCCACCACTTAAGTCTTGGCTGTTGTGGTGGTTTGATGCTGGCCGAGAAGTCACGCTTCATGAATTGTTGGAGGACGCTTGGGTCAAGGAGTTTGTGCCGCCTATGCCCCCCATATTCACAGGGCAAGGCGGGTGTGAGTCAAGTCACTCAACAAACACCATCCCAACCAAATGTGTGACATAGCTGATAAGGACCCCAAGTATTTTCCCCGAATAGCTGGTTTCATTTGCTTTTGTTTTCACATCGCCAACGAAACGGCAACGCGTGCGGGGCGCCGCAATGGACGATGGCAGGGACCCTGGGTCAGACAGTTGACCCACAGGTTTCAGTAAAACTAATTGTTCCATTTCCTCCCTTCCACCTTCCCTTTTTCAAGGATATGTTTGTGTTTTTGGGACCCTGCGGACATCATTTACATCAAACGAGTGAATGCCCTAATGCGAGACGGAGCCAAGTCTGAAGCTTTGAATTCTGACAAACTGTTCCATGTTTGTCAAGCTGTCAAGCACCTCGGCCTCCCCGCAATTTTGTTGGGTCAGCAAGTTCCCGTGACCTGGGCGTCGCTGTCAGGTGGCCATGTGCAAGCCATGCGAGAGGCGAAGTCGAGTTGCGAATGGCAGAATCCCCCCCCCCACAGGCTCCAAACTTGACTCTGGGTTCCCTTCAGGCATTATTTGTTCTCCGGGAGTGGCGAACCCTTTTTGCGCTTCAAGCAACTTTTATTTTTCTCCCCCGGGTTTCATATCAGACAAAATCGGCGATCGAACTTCATTTTGGCAGTGGGGACGTTTATCCTGGAGAACTTAGGACCCTGGCGCATTTTTTTTTCGAGCGGAGCCGCAGGGATTCCACATCAATTGGATGAACATGCGCGACGCATCCACGGGGCAAGGCGCCGAGTGCCTTGCCAGGCCCTAGTCTTTGAGGGCTTCCCCAGGACAGGTGACACCCACTGGAAAATGGCACCATTTTGTGGTATGTCCAGATCACTTGGGTTTTTGTCGGGGTACTTTCTCAGCTTGTAAGAGAGGATCTGAAGTCTTGACATGGGTCCTTGGTTGGTGGCAGTTAGTTGGAAAAGGGTGTTGTCCTTTTTGGGAGCCTCCTTGTCCGTGGGTCCCTTGAGAGCGCCATCATTTGGTTGCAGTGGTGGAGAATAGAGGACATCCAGAAGAAGACAAACAGCTGGACGTTCCAAAGCGAATGCCAAAGGGAAGCCGATATTTTCAGGGATGCCAATGTCCAAAAAAGCGCCCGCACAAGCTTTGTCTTTCCACTCTCTCATTTTTCATATGGCCGCCGACCCTTCCGCGAAGTGCCCGGCTTCTGCTACAAAGGAAATGAACTGCCCGCCTCCTTTCGGACCGAGCGGTGTGTCCAAATGCTTCTTCATGCACCGATTCATCTGATTTCTCAGTGTGGGATCTTCGTCACCGACACCAAACAGAGAGTTGACCGAGGTGACTTTGTAGAGATATCAAGTCTTGCTCTCAAAGTCATGCAGTCGTCTCTTGAGTTCTGGAAAGAGCTAGACGGGTCGAAGCGGATTTTGGCCATCGGTATCTCTTTGGGTTGGCGGAACTCGGGGCCGGTTCACACGCCTGGACGCTGCTCCATTCGCCAGTCATGTGGGAGAGCGGCGAATGGGATTGCGACCAAGAGGAGATGGAGGCTGCGGCGTGGCCATGCCCAATTTTGATTAACGCGGATCCTTTTTAGGAAATCCACCAGGTTGATTCGGGGATGGACGTTATCAAGACTTTCCCTTTTGAAAGTAAACAAACACAGGAAAGGGAGTCAACCACATCGGATCACAGGTTGATTTTCCGCAGCAGCTTTCCAACCTACGTGTAATTCAGGTGTTTCTCGACAATGCCTCCTTTTCGGAAGTGATTTTCCATGACTGTGGAAGCATAAACATAGAACCCGAGCCGTGGATTTGTGGCCTTCAAGCTCTGCGGCGCGGTTTGCCACTAAATCAACTTCGTGGACAAAGCAAAAAGGGTTTCAACTTCAACAATGAACTATCACGCGTGTATGTGTGTTTATAATATATATATATATATATATATATATATTTATAAATCTCCACGCAAGGATGTTGTGGACATGTTTTAGAAGCAAATATGGCCCATGCACAAGCCCCTGGTTGCAACACGCAACCACGGATTTTGGGGTGTGACCATTTCGGGTACCCTTCATCTGGTTTTTCTTGGTTTCCACTCAACAACAAAGGTTGCTACCCATATTTTTCCGAAAATGGGGAATCCCCAACATGACTGGTGTCATTTCCCCCTTTGGTGTCAACCTGCAAAGCCGCATATGTCAATATATATATATATATATAGATAGCAATGCTCTTAAAACTAAACAAGTGCGCCAACTTCAAGAAAGGAGGCACACTTCTGTGTATATACAAAACATATATAGGCTGGACCATGTATAATAGGTCACAACAGGGGGGTCGATCTCAGCTTTGGGGATATGTGCCTGTTGTGTTTGAACGCTTTTGAACACAGGTCAAACATATCATCGGCAGAAGGTTGTTGCCCAGGCCGTCTTCCCAAATGGTCGGCCAAAATATGCCAAACCAATAGAATATGCGACCAGACCTTTATGAAGGATGTTGACCTTTGCTGAGCTTCTTGTAGCTTTGTTTCGGGAACATTCCACACGAAGGCCCTAGTTTGAACCCGTCGGACCTTTTGCGCGGGATGATTTTCAAAGACAACCAACAGGGGTTGCAAACTATGTGAAAATGCAGCATGTGTAACGCAGCATGTGATCCTTATATGATACATAGCCTCCAAGCCTCCAAACACGCACCTGAAAGTTCCCTTTCCTAGGTCGTTTCCTTTTGGTGCACCTGCAAAACCACCCAACAATTCTTGGTGCGTGTCCACCATGAGATCAGGCGCAAATTCCGTGCGAGATCCTGAGATGCAGACAGGCGGGGGGAATATCTTTGGCAGGCCCTCAGGTTGTCTGCTCATTCAGGATCGTTGCACTTTCCGGTGTGCCATATCAGTTTTTCCATAGGTTGGCGGTTTGGATTAGGAAGCCGCCTAACCTCCAAACCACCAATCCAAGACAGTGTCTGAGAAATGCACTCGACTCAGGACCTTTGAGGATCTTGCTCCTTTTGTGGCATGATCAATGCCAGGCACTTGTCACATGGTTGATTTTGTTGGCTTGTCTGGCCAGCCTTTAAGGTCTTGCCCTGGTCCTTGCCTCGTCCTGCCTTGCCTCAGCTTTCCAACAAGCGGCCTGGGGAGGAGTTCCATTTGACTGAAGTCCCACTCCGTTTCTTCTTCTTTTTTTGCCTAGGCATCAAGCGCGGGGGGGGGGGGGGGACACTTTATGCACCGACAGCATGTGCTGGGTGCTGGCTTTCGAGTGCCAGGTGTCACGGGAGCTGAACTTCTCCTCCGTGGAGGTGATAACGAGCCTAAGACTCGTCCAGTCTGTCTGGATCTCGGCATGAGGAAATGGGGGTTCAATATTCCATAGGCCCCCAGTTTTGACCAGGGGTATTTGTTTGTGGAAAATATCTCTGGTTTTTGTGGCTTTCCAACCAATGGTCATCCCATGGAATGGACCTTTTGATCAACCCTCAAATCACAGAGCCCTATGAAGCATCCAAAGCTAGGACCGAGTTTCTGAGTCCTGCATGAGAGATGCAGTATCCACCCCACAAAGGCCCCGACCAGTTCAACCCCTTTCTTTTGTCAGAAAGCCAATCGCGCTTCTTTTTGGCTCTTACACAAGATGTTGCTGGGTGTGAGGCTTCTTGCTTTCCACACCCCTAAGCCTTGACCCGTTGTGGTGGGCTTTTGCTTCTTTTCCGAGGGGTTTTGAGCTGAGAGGGGCGTCCAATTTGTCACGCCGCGCTCGGATATTGTTGCTAGTTTGCTGTTTCGTGTCGCAACGCACGGGCAACCCTCAAAGCAACCCGTGTGCTTTTCCTTTTTCGTTGGCACGCATCTCTGGCGCGGTGTCTCAAGGGACTCAAGGGACTCAAAGCTACTTGCTTTCCCTGCTTGTCTCCCTGAGCCACATCCCAACCAACAAACACCCAAATCTTGGGCCCTTTGTGGGTCTCGAGTTTTCCGAGGTGATTTTCAAGGGCGAGCTTTTGGAGGCTGGGAACATGCGAGCTTCGTGCTTTTCTATCATGCGGGTGGCACCCCTTAGGCTCTGTACCCTTGCGGTTGCAAGAAAGTATAGGGAAGCCAAAGGGGCTATTTGGAGACAGAGCCAAACTATAGAATTGTCGTGTTGTACATGTATGTAATATATAGTTATATATATATATATATATATGTATGTCTATATATATATATATGTCGAGGCATGTTTTATCATTATTGTTATTATTATCATTTTCATTCTCATAATCCTTCTTACTAGTATTGCTGTTAGCGTTATGATTATTATTATTATTGTTATTATTATTATTATTATTATTATTATTATTATTATTATTATTATTATCATTGTTATTGTTATTGTTATTATTATTATTATTATTATTATTATTATTATTATTATTATTATTATTATTATTATTATTATTATTATTATTATTTATTATTTATTATTATTATTATTATTATTATTATTATTATTATTATTATTATTATTATTATTATTATTATTATTATTATTGGTATTATTATTATTATTATTAATATTACTATTACTATTACTATTACTATTACTATTATTATTATTATTATTATTATTATTATTATTATTATTATTATCCTTATCCTTATCCTTATCATTATTATTATTATTATTATTATTATTGTTTTTTTAGTGTTAGTTGTCAATAGAGCATCAGCTCTGTAGAGTTTTTGAGCCGCTGGCTTCAAGGCAGCTAGGCACCTAGGCACCTAGGCACCTAGGCACCTAGGCACCTAGGCACCTAGGCACCTAGGCACCTAGGCCTCCAAGCCGACGTACGTGGCAGTAAAGGTTGGCTACGCTGCCCAAACCATTTTGGAAGGGACTATCCGTTTTTGACTGCTATCGAATGAGCTTTCTCTCGGAAGGATCGGGTGGCCTCCCGAGGAATGGAACTTCCACTTCGGCTTCGTCATTCCGAATTCGACCAACACCTGGCAGCAGACCATTGAGGCGAGTGGTTGATTCCGGACTCCCAATTGGGCCAGGAAACATTCGAAAATAGTCGCCAGAAGGGGCCGCAACTTGTTCGGGAGGGACAACACATGGCATGTTCCTGTGCAAGTTGAACCCAGGCGGCGGAAGAAGAGGAGATGCTGCCTGCTGAGCTGCTGTTCGATGCTCAGAGAGGCAACTGACAATTCAGCTCGTAACCTGGAGATGAATCATGCGCAAGCTGGTGCTCTCCTGAACCCCTGTGTCTTGGCAAGAGGGGCCTTTTGGCAATCCGGCAGATGACGCAACCTCCCTCCCAACTCCGTTTCCATTTGTCTGAGAGACTTCTTCTTTACCGCCACTCCTTTACATCGAGCCGAGTTCGGACTTCCGCAAGTGGGCGAGTTTCGGGGACGGTGTGCTTGGTGTCCCGCCTGTTTTGAGCAGCCCAGGTCAGGCAATGTGGTCATAGAGACGACCTTCTTTGATGGCCCTGGCCCCAGCGTGCCGAGGTCGCGAGATGCCTTAGATGAGTGGCCAAAAGTCATGACGCATGGCCAGCCGTTAGCGAGTGACCAGTTTTGGAAGGAGTTGTCCTTAAAGCAGCTCCACTTTTTATTACCCGCATGCCAAGGGGAGTATCCCATCATGACTCAGCGTGCCCGGATCTCAGTGTCCCAATGTCTGGGGCTTAATGCCAAGTGACATCTTTGTGAAGCCTACCAGACCCATTTGTTCGCGACCGAGGTGCGGATTTGGTACCTGTGAATTGGCCCGGGATGGCAACCATCTCGGTCGGCAAACCGAAGCCAGCGGCTTTCCAGACGAAGACGTGTTTTTTTCTCCTTTCTGCCCAGTCGTTCTTGGCATCAATATTCATACCCTGAGTTGGTGGCTTGGACCGGGGATTGAACCTCAGGTTTTTGAATGGGACAGCTTATCAAGCTGCAAATCACCAATGGGAGTAGCTGAAACGTGAGCTGACTGCTGGCCATCGGTTGGAGATGTGATAGCTTGTCGGGGAGCAACTCGCCTCCCAGATGAAACGTTCGAGCGACAAAAGGGGACGGGCGTCGCAAAGAGTTCTGATTTGAATCTTGTGGCGACTGCTTTGCAGATGCTTTGCCTGCATATCAGGCATGATATTGTAGGATGGGACGAATTGTTTGCTCGAAGTGAAGCTTGGCTCCAGATCATAGATAGATGTGAATCTAGACGAATTCAGTTTCAGGACTGATTGCACACTCTGTGATTGTCATTTGCCTCGCTGTGCAGGAGGCACCATGAGGGTTCCACTCCAGTCAGCAAACGTAGCATATCGTGTTGAAAGTAGCTGCCCGGGGCTGAATACCAGGGTAGATGGACGAAATCTGCATCACTTGAAAACCATGGAAAATCATTGTTGGTTGGTATTTACAGGGAATCAGCATTCCAGGGTTTCTTAGGTAGTTCAGGATGTCCCCCATCCACAGACTATGGACAAGCATGTCTATTCCCTGATGGGGCATGCTCTTCCCTTGGAACCTACGAGCTGAGGATGGTACTTGGTACTTGGCCCGAGAACCCCCGGCAGGATGATTGCAGATGAATCTGTGGCGGAGTTCATTTCGATGACGTCTGCGGGCGACGATGAGGCGGGCCATCCCGCAGGTTCGTTCCCTAAACGTTGCAGGGGAACAGGACGAGGAAAACTAGAAAGACGGTTTGGTCTTGGACCCTGCACCAAAGACCTCTTTCTTGGTGGCGGGGGTGTCGCTCTCGCACTGATCCAAGCAACCATGGCCATATGGGCTTGTCTCAAACACACGAACCCTCAGCATCAGAGATTTTGCTTTGGTTCAATTGACCCGAAGCTCACACCTTTTGAAGGCGACTCTTGGCTTGGCCCTTTTTCGAGGGCTTCTTACGGTAAGGTAAGGCAAAATGTTCGTCCATTAAGGTGCACCCTTGCGGACTTTGGGTGTGCGTTGGAGCGCCCTTGCGGTGCCGTGGCACGAATTTGTATCATCAAAATCAGCTCTTTGTGGGCTTTGGATGCGTGAAATCGTTGTCGCTGTTGCGCGGCGCGCATTTGAGCATCGGAAGTGAACCCCCTGCGAACTTTGATTGGTACAAATAACAAAGATCGAAGCACAGGACCTGCAAAGATATTCTTGCAAGAGATCTTGGAGACCCCGGACAGTGCTTCAATACATAGAGGATCCTCTCACAAATCCTGCGCACAAATCCTGCCAAGAGAGCCTATCAAGAGATCCTGTTCAGAGATGCTGCGCACAGCACTTGCCAAGAGACCCTATCAAGAGATCTTGCGCAGAGATCTTGTAAAAGTCCGCCCAAAGACATCTTGCGCTGGCCTTCACAGGTATGCTTTAAAGAGCTCTTGCACAGGACCTGACAAGATTTGCCTCCAAGCGATGTTGTAGAGGACGCTTCCTACAGATCTTGAACAGAGAAACTCTATATATCCGATCCTCTCATGGGCCCCCTTCCCCAGACATCTTTCGAGTTCCAGCTCTGTAAACCTGGTCCTTAAGATCCTCTCAAGTCTCGCGCCCCTCAGGCCCAGAGATGCGCGCTGCCAAGAGTTCCTTTCAAGAGCCCAGAGATCCGTCACAAGTCATGGCTCGGGGTTCTCTGCCAAAGACATCCCCGGTTCAGCCAACCACTTGGTGTTTACCATGGACTGCAGGCCAGAGGGTACCTGGAGATGGCCGGCGGAGATCTCCACCAGGCGCTGTTAGAGAACGTGAGGAGCTGTCGCATACCCCGATGGCAGCTTCTCATTGGAGGGTAGGGAATGGGAGTTGTGAACCTGACGCAATTCCACTAGAAGAACTACCGCACGACTCAGAAGACATGAGGGCCTGTGTGAACATGGTTTTGACATTTGCTGCGGGGAGAGCCTCTAAGATGGTTGGTGGACAAAGATCCAATTTACATGATGTCCACCAAAGATTCCCCACTTAAACATTTTGACCGTATTCCCAACCCCAAAAAGGTTCTTCAATCAGAACCGCTTCGATCAGAATGTTAATGTATCCTTTCCTGGAGTTTCGGGTGAAATTTCTCCTGGTTTCCCTACTCACAAAACGTCTTAGTTCTGAAGGGGGTTCAGAGGGACACCAGCTGAACACGGAGGCATGCCCACGAACCGTTTGAGGGCAAAGGATCCAGTAGTCTATGGTCGTGGGAGGGGCATGAAGGGGCGCTTTAATTCTGGCGCAACAACAATTGGGGCCTCGATTTCTGCCATGTCCAGAAGGGTAGTAAGCTTGTTAAAATCGGATTCTGGGAACCTGTGGAACGGGCTACTTCCAAAATGGTTAGACATACATTTCCCCATATCCATTTCCAATGCGCGATGATTTTCAATAAGGAGCCGCCTCAAATGGTTGGTGGACCTTGTTTCCCTACCGAATTCTGATGTCCGGTAAAGGGTCCCCTAAGATTCGTACCCAATTGAAGCTCATTCCCTTGGCAAACTTCCAGGCAGTTGGCCTCTTCTTCGAGATGGGCGGCGGCACGCCGGCTCCGGCGCACGCCTTGGATTGTTTTTTCTTCTTCGAAACGATGGCCAAAGGGTTTCTATCAGTTTTTCCAATTTCGAGAGGCCCAAAGGGCAGGCTCAACCTTGAGAGTTCTCCGGTTTTGCTTTGCTACCCCCGGAAGGTGCCAATGAAAAAGCAATCGTTAAAATGTGATTCGGTTTCCGAACCCAGGCAAAGTTTGGTGCGTGGTTTCAAGCTTGAACATTCCGCCCCAAAAAGGCGTAGTTACCCTCACTAAGAGACGTTTGCAGTGGTTTGAATTGTTTGGGACCAGGCGGGGCATGGGTCAAATCCTACTATCCGCTTGTGCAGAGGGTCTAGAGTACAGTGTCATGATAGAATGCTGGTCATCGGCTGAAGCAATCTTTCTTTTTTGGCTGAAGTTTCGTATTTCCAGAAAGTTGGATTACACGGCAAGAAGGTATGACTCACTTTTCAGCTGCATGAAGATGTCTTCGACAAGATTGCCTGCTTGCCTTGGCCATATCATCGCTTTAGTTTCATAGCTTGCTTTCAACAGTCAGAGTGCTTGTTTTTACGCGCTGCCCTTTGTTCAATACAAGTCGCATGCAGCCGTTTTGCTCTGTAAAGGCTCTGTGTTTGAGGCTGCGCCCTTTTCCAAAGCCTTGAGGTTGGGCAAAGACCTGGATTTCCGGGGCCGAGATGGCCGCCGGCCGGTACGGAAGGACCAAAAAAACACTTCCGAAATGCTCCAGGGCTGACATGGAGCTAAGTGAGGGAGCTTCCATTGCCGAAGGGTTTCTTCCCGTTTCAGGGGGTGGTTGGAATGGGTTCCGTGGCCTTCAAAGGGCCATCCGAGAACTCGGTTGGAATATTTTTTCTTGGGTCACGTTGCGATGCCAACCCCAGGTCATCCTTGTTGGAAAAGACATATGCGACTTGTACTCTGTGCCCTTCAGGGCTTTCGTAAGCCTTAGTTTTGGCCGGAGATGGTGCCATGCTCTGTGAGGTTTCGGTTGATTTGAGGTGCTCGGAAAAGGGAGTATATTGCTCAGCTAGCTCTACAGAGTTGGCCGCCATTTTGGGTGTCGAGAAAGGGGGTGCCGACCTTGAATCCTTGGCATTCGAGGGGCGATTCTTTTCCCGAACCCATGACTTGAAAGTGGGCGAACAAATGCTAACTCTATGGCACCCAGACGCACACCTACTTGTGCCAAGCAGAGTCATTAAATCAGAGAGCTTGGCAAAGAGTCAACTGGCTTCACAATCGAGTGGTAATCAAATTTGAGCCCCTTTGAACTCATTTTGGTCGGGCTACGCTCTCTCCCGGGTTTTTGGCAGGGGTTGCAGTACGATGTACGGCCGAGGCTCACAGATCTTCTGCGTCTCCTTCACCGGCCATTCGGCAAAATCGATGGGGCTCCTTGAGGGTCCGTGATACGGGGAGAACCGTGAGTCATAGCTCTGGAAAAGCTTTTCACATTCTTTTGTCGGGCTTGTGATCCCCGGTTTGGCGCCACATCGAAGGCAGAGCGGCAAAGGGTTGACAACGGCAGGTGGGAAAACCCTGAGTGTCATGCGCTTGAAAGGGCCGGGAGTGGGGGAGGGGCTCAGCCCCCAAGTCATCTTACCTGGTTAGGCCAGTCTTTCAGTTTCCTCCTCAGTGGGCTTGTTTGAAGGTCCAATGACAAACATTGAACATATGCCAGCCTCAGATCGCTTGACCTCTTGCATGGTTCGTGAGTGCCAGTGTCACAACATTTGTTTTCTTGACCGCAGCCCTTTCAGAGATGTCAGCGAGGTTCGCCGAGCCAACCCATACCTTTGCACTATTTTTCCAGATTTGAGGTTGTATCGACATATTCTTCATTCGATGGCTACAAATGAAGTCTGACTTGTAAATTCTAGCACTCAAAACCATTCTGCCTGCCAGAAGATCGCTTGTGTGCTGTTTTGAGGGCACCCTTGTGTTGGATGTCTGAAAGGCAACGCCTGACTCAGAGCGTGTGCTCAGACGAGTCCCTTCAGCACTAGACTCCTGTGCTCGATGTCTACGAAGTCAGTTCCTGCCCTAAAGTATACTCGGATGTGCAAATATTGGCGCTCTGGTCGCTGCGTGATGGGGAAGGCTTGCAACTTTGCCCACGCAGATCAGGAGTTGCGCGAACGCCCTGACTTGTCTTTTTCAAAGCTCTGCTTCCAGTTTTCTGCCACTGGCGCATGCAAGCAAGGAGAGTCATGCACCTTTGCCCATGGCGAGCATGAGCTACAGAAGTTGGAGGAACCAGTGCGCGGCGGCGCCAAGAAACCTGCCGAATCCAAGGAGTTGCCTAGCCCGAGGTCGTTTCACCGCATGGAACCGGGATTTCAATCTACATCCGCAAGCTCGAGGCAGTGCCCGAACAGCGAGCAACCCCAACCAAACCGTTGGGTATTCTGGCTATAGCTGAGGCAGGCTACGGCAAGTGAGATGAGAGGATTGATCGCTTATTTTAGCACTCTCTTTTGTTGTACAACGCCTTGCTGGAATCACAGCAAGCGTGGCGGCAAGGGTCGTCATGCACACGAGCTGCCTGGCCAAGGGGTTCGGCAGCCGAGGCTGCGCAGCTGCCTCTCTGCTTAAAATCTATGGCTTGTAATGTTCCTTAAGGGGTCACGCAGCGTGGGAGCGACGGGTCGGGCATGATCATTTGCTGACACCTCAAGCTATTGGCCAGTTGCTAGAAGCTTTTGCATTTCGTCCTCCTTCCGCGCGCCACGCAGACACTGTTTCCAAATCACGGCATTGCGCATTCACACGCACACTGCACACGCACACGCGTAATTGTTCACAAGCGGCTTGCTCACTCAGGGTAGCAGGCAGCATGAATCACAACTACCAGCTCTTGGATCGCTTTCGTCTTTATACCGTATAAGAGCACCACCATGATTGAGTGCAACTACTTGGTGGATTGCTTGTGTCTTTTTGCAGGAAGTAGATAATATCAGAAACACCGATAAGAGCAGCAAAAGGCGTTTTGCGCAACCTCTTTAGCTCGAATCAACTTCGAGAATGCTCTGACAGCCCGATGGCCGACTCTGGACAGGCCTTGCAGGGCACAGTCCAGAGTTTTTTTCCAGGCCGCCGGCAATCCTCTCATAGAGTGACGTGGGTGCCTCCAAAGGGGGATATCCCCAACAGGCGGGGGGGGTCCTTGATGTGGCCAAGCTGGAAGTCTGACCTGCATTCTCAGTTCCAATTGTGATTTGACTCGGTCATCACTTGAACTTCCGCTGCTCTCATTTGGCCCTTGCCCCCCCCCGAGCCAAGTGCAAAGTTTTGTGGAAGATCTCGTTGAGTGCATCTTTGCGCCACTTTGAAGGACTTTCTGATCCTTCATCAAGTCAAGTTGAAAGTGAAGGCCTCAAAATTGTGATAGTTGTTGTTTGTTTGGGCACAACACAGTGTTGTGTGCACCAAGTTGAGGCCTTCGAAATGTTTATACAACGACCGATACCCAGGTGTCTTTTCCAGTGAATGTGCACAAAGATGCGGGCGCGCTGTTTGTTGGGTTCAGGCTTTTGCTCCAGTAATTGAAGAATCATTTCCACTTTCCGAGGAATTTTGCCGAAACCGCGTGCTTCACTTGTAAGCTTGTCAATGTCAGACCAGCGTATAGATCACATACTTGCCAAGGACTGGCTTTTTTTAGGCCTGGTCCTCGCTTGCTGGGTTGCTTGGTTGGTTGGCCTTGTCCCAGCCTGGGGCTGGTTTAATTTCTGGTGTTTTCAGGCTGGCTTAGATTGGTGTGGGGTTCACTTTAGGTTGACTCTGGGTTTGGGATTGGCTTGGAGCTGACTTGCGTTAACTGGGCTGCTGATTTAGCAGCGGCCTCGGATTGCTTTAGGGTGTGATTGAGTTTTGTGCTGGTTTAGGATTGAAGCCACCAAACTAGTCCAAAATTCATGTAAACACACCCTAAAGCAACCCAAAGCCACCGCTACACAAGCAGCACACCAAACACAACTCAGCTCCAAGCCACACCCAATCCCGCTCAAAGTCATCCCTAACGCCACCCAGCAGCCTGGATGTCAGCCCTTTGCTGGTCCTAACCGAACCCCCAAACAAAGCCAAGACCCACCCTCCTAGTCAAACCAGCCCCGAGCAACAACTAAAACCAATTGGAGCAGGCAGCCCTAGGTCCATGTGCTAAAAAGTTTCCATTGTTGCAGTTGTGACAAGGTCTGAACATGCGCTTGGTCGCAGTTCTGCAAATTGCGCGGGCGCTATATAAACCCCTAGTTCACCTTTGCCCCCTCGCGGGAAATACTGAGATAACCCCATCACGCCTCCTTGGCATTCTGAGAAATGGGACCCCTTCAAACCTTGGGTGCTCTGCTTCTCTTCCTCACGATGAGAAGGCCCAGGAAACAGGATGTGTTCTGTGGCTGGCTTCACGTAGCTGTGAACGCGTTGCAGCGAAAGCAATGTAAGCACCTTGAGCGCCGAGCCAGTTTCCAATTCTTCAAACAAGCAGATGGCAACTTAGCGGTCACTCTGCTACCGTGTTGTGTGGTTGTGTGGTTGTGTGTGTGTTGGCCAAGGAAGGTCGGGGCGCATTCACTGCCTCATTTGATGACGTCTCAGCACCGAAATCTGTTCTACCACTCAAATGTCCAAATCCGGCGTCCAAATTGGGTCGCAGATGCTTTGGAATCCTGGGTCCTTTGGTGTGTGCCTAGAGTAGAAGAAGCGTGAAGTGTGCTGGTTTCAGTTAGAATCTAGCAAGCAGGGCTTGATGGTCTGAAAGGCTCCGATTGCTTTGCTTGGCTGCAACACGGTCTTTCTCTTGTTGTCAGCGATGAAAATCAATTTTGGGTTCCGGCTGACAGTCTCCAAGCTCAGATGTCTGTCATCGAACGGGGTTATGTCGTCACTCCCAAAGTATGAAGTGCAACAGTTACGAAGTTTTTGAGAGTTCCAACTGGGCGCACTTCTTTCCTCGGAGGGCTTCTTTTGTTTCCTCGTGCTTCCAAACCATCTGTGCGGGGTTTGCAACTTGATCGTTTTCTTGGTCTTTGGATTTCTGAGACGACGCTTTGCCGGTCTTTCTCAGCATAGTTCCCAATTATCTTTTCTCTATTGGTGAAACGGGGTGCATTTTGAGAGTCCGTGTCGTGGCCCCCTCGCTTACCCCAAACAGGGCGCCCCACTCGGCGAGGTCGACCACTCGGGTGACGTGGCCGCGGAGGTGAGAGCCGCGGCGCTGGCTGCCGGCCTAGGCGAGGCAAGCGCGCTGAACAGCCGGCGGTTTGGTGTCGATTTTTGGGAAGGTTGCTTTTGGGAGCCCAAACGGTGGGTGCAGGGTAAGAAATCTACTAAAAGATAAAGCTAAAGACTAAACACAGAAAAGGCATAGCCGAGTTGTACATATAACAACCACAACACAGACATTGAGAGGTGAGTTATACATAGCAACATGTAAGGAGAAGACACATAACCATTGATATTACTTTCAGACTCTATTTCTTTCTTCCTCATTTAGTCATCTTCTAATTGACTCTGCTTTTGGAATCTTCAATGTTAATGTTTCCATCCTATAAGTCTTCTCTATTGAATTTCTATTTGGGAACCCCAACAGTGGGTCGGCAAGCGCCGCCATTTCTAGGCCAGGGCTCCCTTTTTGGGATGGTTGACAGAGGAAACCAAATGTACACGAAAAAGAGAAGAAAAGAAGGGAAACAATAAGAAACCAACACAGCAAAAGAAGATTCCCGCAAAAATATATTTAAAAAAAACACAAAACCCCCAGCAAAAGGAAGCCAAATGAAGGGGTCCAACATTGCAAAAGAACCCATTCCCGCCCGCCTCGATTTTTTTTCTTCGATGCGAGGTCCGGACGACACGCCCATGGCGCGGGCCCTGGTTCGGGGCATTTATTTTTTTTGCTCCCGGTTCTCAGTTTCGTAATTTTTTGTTCCGTTGGGAAGAGCAGTAGGAGTTCTTTTCTTCCCGCACTTTCCCCCACTTCTCCGGCTCTTTTGCCGCATTTTACCGCGGCTCATCTAGAGGGGCGCGTCTGAGTGAAGGCCACACAAACTTTCTGAAGGAAAGCACAAGAACCACACGGGTCGGGAAAAACACACACACACACACACGCGCGGGGGGGGGGGGGGGTGAATTTCAGATGTCGCCAGATGCAATGTGAATGTTACTGTTGATTAGTTTTAAAGGCAAGCCAAGTTTCCTATCCTGAGACAAACCCATTTAGGTACTCATGCCGTGGCTTGTCAGGAGCCATCTAGCTCATCATGCCAGGCCATTGGTGCGATGTTATGTGTTTTTCCCGGATGCACTCAGGAGGAAGAAGTGAGGGCGCCTTTGCCCGCGTACCAGGAGCGGACTTTGGCACGGAGTCAAGGGAATTGTCGGGTGGGGGGAGGGGTGGGGCGAGGGTACCCCTCTGAGATTGGAAGCCTGCCGCTTTTTGGTAAGACTTGCACATTCCTATGGAAGATGCGACGACTTTACATGACACATTTTTTGCAGCCAGTCTGGGCCCACTTTGACTGTTAGAGAACTGGATGGTTTCCCTTTGGGCTGCTTAAGGAGAACAAAAGGAAACTCTAGAAGCCAACTCTTAGTGGTAGCTAGTAACTCGGGGGGGGTGGAGGCTGGGCGGTCCTTTTAATTTTGAGACACGTGTTGCATGGCGAACAATCCATACAGGATCAGATCATCGACCCAGAGCACGATCGACGGATGCAGGACCCGAAAGGTGGCACGGTATTGTTCTCGCGTAGCACGGCAGCGGTGCAGCAAGGGCACTCATGGGTGAGTAAAGCCATGGTCTTGCTTCTGGTTTGGCCAAATGCAAATTCCTGCTGCCCATATTTTGGGAATGGCGCCGCGCAGCATGTCACTGCATGCAGCAAGGAGGGCAGTTCTGCAGGCACAAAACACACATATGCACTCGTTGGCATGCATGCGTGGCAAGTCCAGATGCGGGGCGAAGCACATGGCATGCATGCTTGCATGAAGGAAGGCTACATGCATGTACGCATGCACACACACACAGACAGCAACACAAACACAAGCAGACACCCACATTTCCCAGCACCCACACACCCCACACCCCCACACCCCCACAGGCAAACAGGCACAAAGGCACACAGGCACGCAGGCACACAGGCACACAGGCACACAGGCACACAGGCACACAGACACACAGACACGCAGACACGCAGACACGCAGACACGCAGTCACGCAGACACGCAGCCACGCAGACACGCAGACACGCAGACACGCAGACACGCAGACACGCAGACACGCAGACAAGCAGACACGCAGGCAGCAAGCACGTATGGACACACACACACACACACACCCACACACACACACACGCACACAAGCCAACACACCCACACAACACACACAAACGGAAACACACACACACACACACACGTACACGCACACACACACACACACCTTCCCACCCACCCACCCACCCACCCACGCACGC